GGTCTGTTAGGGTTCAGTGTGAAGCGTTTGGAAAGCTCAGGGTGTTGGGTTGTAGGCTCGGGGGGCTCAACTGAACTCCTCAAAGCGCGAGTCGCCATGAAAATGTTTGGGTTGTCGCAGGTCCACGTGTCCTGGTCAAGGATGAGCTTTGGCAGTTTTGGGTTCAAGAAATGGGTGTAGGGTTTAGGGCTTAGGGTTTAGGGTTTAGGCTTTAGGGTTTAGGGTTTAGGGTTTCGGGTTTAGGATTTAGGGTTTAGGGTTTAGGGTTTAGGGTTCACGGATCTCTGTCCTCATCGAGAACGATGGGCGCCGTGGGCGCCGCCATGACATCATTTGGCTGCCGCGGCTTAGACATTGGAGCCTTGGTAGTCCAGCAACCATATTTATGATAAGGGCCTAGGGTTCCGGGTTTTGGGGTTTTGGGGTTTAGGGTTTGGGGTTTTGGGGTTTAGGGTTTAGGGTTTAGGGGCCCTAAACCCTAAACCCTTTTTTGGGGTTGGGGTTTTTTATAAGGGAACCCAGAACCAAAAAGAAACAGTAGAGGGTACCACTGGGCCAGCAAGGAGCGCAGGCAGCCGGCCACGGCGAACTGTAAAAAAAGGGGGAGCCCCAACCACTTCCTGGTGAGCCAAATCTGGGGGGGCCGAGAGCGCACGTCATGTGGCATCTAAAGCTCGGGTGTGCCCTTCACCCGATCAGGTAGCCTAAGCCCTAAACCCTAAACCCTAAACCCTAAACCCTACACCCTACACCCCGTTTTTCTAAACCATGACACCAGATCTTCGAGCCCTTATCCACCCTTCAAGGCGCCTACGAGAGCTCTGAGTACTTGCCAGAGCCCTTCGTTGGGAACTCGGCAATTTGGGTCCCCACCCGCATCTGAACCGCCTTCTGACCCGTGAGTGTATTTCAGGTAGCTGACCCCGAGTTGTGTGTATCTGTGCCCTGCTACACAAACCTAACATCCAAAAGCAGCAATATCCAGAAGTTGGTGTTTGTGCATACTACAAAAAAGGCTTTTGGGACTAAGCTAGGGGCCATCCAGCAGACAGATTGAAGCCGACCATGGGGAAGCATACATACATATATATATATACACATACAGAGCACACGCTGAGAGAGCTATGTCACGCCGTAATATATCCGATTCTGTATGCATATCTGCATATATCTATATAAAGGGCAGAGTTCTATCGTTCTTTGGGGGTGTGGTAAAACACCCTTCTTATCACCATCCATGAACCTCCAAGTAGGCGAAGGTCCAGAGCCAATCCATGGTGTTGCTTCGAGGTATGCCGGCAAGCAAGCCCCCACTGCAAGGGAATAGGGAATCTTTTGGGGAAGAAACTACCAATGGTACTCCCTTATGGTCCCTATATATGAATATACTACACGAACCGTCACGAACCCCCCAAAAAACAGTCTTCTAATTCTTAAGGCCCCTATATTACACCAGGCGGTCTGCCCAAACTCGAAACCCTGACGCAGGCCCACCATCATTTTCCAGCTCCAGGCCAGATGCGGCGCACGCAACCTCCGCGAGCTGATTCTGTAAGATGTTCCCGCAGCCTCCGAAATTCGGCAACCCTATGCGGGCTCCTCTCTACATTACGGGCCCTGATTAGGTAACTGAAAAGATAACCGGAAAGAAAAAAGGAGAGAACAAACCCTGAGCCCGGGAAGATACAGACCCAAAACTCTAAAATACCAAAACCCTAAAACCTTGCTTCCCAAATACCCATATAGTAAAAAGTTCAAACTTTCAGAATAAGGTCTTACCTTGTAAGAGGCCAAAAGTTGAAAAGTTGGGTTTCGAACCACTAAGAACCGCAACCCCCAAACTCCATCCCCCAAACTCCATAAACAACCCTAAACCCTAAACCCTAAACCCTAAACCCTAAACCCTAAACCCTAAACCCTAAACCCTAACAACTCTAAAGAGGGCCGCCAGGAGACTGCAGGTTCGGCGTTGACAACTAACGCAGCATCGGGTGTTGCATCCGAGGCCGCGGAACCGCACGGAAGGGGGCATGTGAATTAAGCAGGGGTCTAGGGGTTAGGGGTTTAGGGTTTAGGGTTTGGGGTTTAGGGTTCAGGGTTCAGGGTTTAGGGTTTGAGGGCTCAGGGTTTTGGGTTTGGGGTTTGAGGGTTGTGTTTTGTTTAGGATTCAGGGTTCCGGGGGTTTGGCTTCTGGGATACGTTTGTGGAATCGCGACTTTGGCTTTGCCGCACATGACATGCTCATGCAAGCATGCCTGAATCTACATCAGCTCCCATCCGTTCTCGATGGGGAGAGCAGTCGCTAGCCTCGGAATCAAGTGGTTTGATGCCAGCGGGCTTCGGCGGCTCCCATAGACCGTCAAGTCATGAGAAGTTTGCTACTACAATTATTTTCTTGCTCTGGTTCTTTATGATGCCAGAAACCTGGAATGTGCGATTTTCTTGCAGCGCAGATTGAGAACGGCAAACCTGATGTGAGGCAGCGTGTAATGCAAAAGAAGCAGCGGTGATGGCACTAACAAGATGGTGATAGCATGGTACCCACGATCGTCTGCGGACCAAAACTCTAACCTCAAACCACTCAACCTTATGAATCGACTCCTTAAAGAAGCTCCAACAAGAGGCAGGATCTGCAGACGTCGCCGGAGCTCATCGCCAGTGAGCTGGTGCAGGTGGTTAATGGCCGCCTCTCCATGCTCAAGGTTTCCAGGCTTTAGGGTTTTACTTGCAGGTTCATGGGTAGCTAGAAGTAAGTAGGGCCATAAGTAGTCATACTTCTAAGCCCTTTTGGGGTCCCTACCTATATGTAAGTACCCGTGAACCTCCAGGGAAGGCCCGAAACCTGTCTCAGGTCATCGCACTCAACGGATCTTTCTTGCTGGCGCAGCATGATTTATACTCCTGTTACCTGAAGAGAGAATCTGGAAAAAGGCTCCCCCACCGGAAGAGTCCCAGGTAGAGTCCCATCATCCTATGAGTAACTAGTAACGCTGAACCCTGAACCCTAAACGCCTAAACGCCTAAACCCTTAACGCCTAAAGCCTAAAGCCTAAAGCCTAAAGCCTAAACCCTAAACCCCGGTGTGTGAAAACCACTCCGTTCCGACTCACGGCTCTCCCGCCCGAAGCTCCTCGAAGGCTAACCCGAGCACGTAAGAAAACGCCCCAAAAACACGTGATGTTGATAGGGATTTAAACAAGCATGTTTAAGGTTTAGGGTTTAGGGTTTGGGGTTTGGGGTTTAGGGTTTAGGGTTTAGGGTTTAGGGTTTAGGGTTTAGGGTTAGGGTTTAGGGTTTAGGGTTTAGGGTTTAGGGTTTAGGGTTTAGGGTTTAGGGTTTAGGGTTTAGGGTTTAGGGTTTAGGGTTTAGGGTTTAGGGTTTAGGGTTTAGGGTTTAGGGTTTAGGGGCATGGCAACAATGATAAGAATGACGGCTATAATGATGCTAAGAATAGTAGTACTCATGGCAAGCGTGACGTTGCACACCAAGAAATGTTAACATGAGTGAATGACATCAACAATAACGAGTCAAACGAACTTTAGCAAAACCAAAATTGCAATACCAAAAACAGTGTCAACAGCAGCAGCAAGAAAAAAACAAGGATCGACGTGATTAATTGTGTGTTGGAATGGAAAAAGCGACATGAGTAGAACGATGCAAGATCAAAATCACAGACAATGCAAGTTTGGAATTCGCACGAATGACTTGAATACTACTGAGAATGGCAGTACTACGTGTAGCAATACTAGTAGCTTTTGCAAAAGCAATAGCAATAGCAATAGCAATAGCAATAGCAATAGCAATAGCAATAGCAATAGCAATAGCAATAGCAATAGCAATAGCAATAGCAATAGCAATAGCAATAGCAATAGCAATAGCAATAGCAATAGCAATAGCAATAGCAATAGCAATCTCATCGGCTCTGCCTTAGTCATAGTCGTAGCAATCGTAATCGCAAACAAAAAAAGATGCAAAACATACGACACCAAAAAACAGCAGCTATAACGGAGCTAGTGAACCATCTTAATACTGGGGTGGCCTTGAAACGCCTTAGGAACATGCTGCAATATGGGATCCTTATAAGCCCCAAACACGCAAAGTATTCAAATCTATAGGCCAACCTAGAATAGGGCCTTAATAATCCGAATTGGGTTTTGGGGGTTAGTATAGCAAAACTAGAAAGGCACCATAAGGGAATACTATTCGTCATTTTTCCGACCCCTATAGTAGGCCAACCTAGAATCTGGATTGCTGAGTTCAGAAGCCCCCAAAAAGTGTACACTTTCAGTTTTACACGGCATTGTACTATTCCAAAAAGTGTAAACTGTACTCACTCAGCTACTAAGATACCCTAAACCCTAAAACCCACACCCTGAACCCTAAACCCTAAACCCTAAACCACGATGGTGTGTGAGGCTCCAGCCAAGCCTGTCGCTCAGCACGCCCGTCGAGTCCCAATGCCTCGGGCCGGGCTTGGTTCGAGGATTTCCTTCGGCTTCCTTCGTCAGACCCCAAACCCTAGACCCTAAACCCCAAACCCCAAACCCCAAACCCTAAACCCTAAACCCTAAACTGATTTCGGGTCCAGGGTTTAGGGCTTCTTGGTTTTGGAGCTCTCTCTGCAGCCACTGCGTCCTCGGCCAGCGACTCCAGTGACGGCATGTCCGCCTGGTTCAGAGGCCCACGTTCAAAGGACGTACTAGAGTTTAGGGTTTAGGGTTTAGGGTTTAGGGTCTAGGGTCTAGGGTTTAGGGTTTAGGGTTTCGGGCTCCCACACCTCGAAAATAAAAGGGGCCCATCGAGTTCGAGTGGGCATTTGGGTCGGTACGTGCTGAAACCGTGGCCTAGCCCCTGGAACCCCTAAACCCCTGAACCCCCTGAACGCCCTAAACCCCCTAAACCCTAAACCCCCTAAACCCCCTAAACCCCCTAAACCCCTAAACCCCCAAAGCCCCTAAACCCTTAAACCCCCAAACCCTGTTCTGCTTGCTTCTCAGCTTGTCATGCACTGGCGTTGAACATTCAAGCTTCGAGCGCCAACTTGCTGGCTTACTCTACTTGGAGGTTCATGGGCCGTACAAGCCCATGAGCCTCCAAGTACAAAGTGTGCTTGAATGTTACTTGGTATAAGTACATCATAAGCACAGCAATTGTTGTAGATATTTCGGGCAGCTGTCACCCAACTTATAACTATCCACGAACCCCTAAGCACGTCTCGTCGGAGCTTGCTGCGTGCATGCGGACGCTGACACAAGCCTGAGGGTGTGGGTAAGAAAAACTTGGACTTGATAGAACTTGGGGATTCTCAGGGTTTAAGGGTTTAGGGTTTAGGGCTTCGGGTTTAGGGTTTAGGGTACTGATTTGGGCTCCTTTGATACAGCCCTGAAGCCCTAACTCTTCACGAGGGTGCCCTCGAAGACGGCTTTGCGCTGCGCCTGACGCTGCTCCAGCTCGCCCTCAATCCTTTTCAACCTGGGAACGTCTCCTAGTCATCACCCGTTTTATCCTAAACCCCAAACCCGAAACTCTAAACCCTAAACCCTAAACCCTAAACCATAAACCCTAAACCCTAAACCCTAAACCCGAAACCCTATAAGCCCTGAACCCAAAACCCTGAAGCCTAAATGACGAGGCTCTGTGGTTCTAGCAAGGGTTCAAGTTGAGTGATAAAAGGCTGCCCCTCAAAACGCCGGAGCCCTAAACCCTGACACCCTACACGGGAACTAGGTTTAGGGTTTAGGGTTTAGGGTTCAGGGTTCAGGGTTCAGGGTTCAGGGTTCAGGGTTTAGGGTTTAGGGTTTAGGGTTTAGGGTTTAGGGTTTAGGGTTTAGGGTTTAGGGGACTTTCGACAGCCCAGCAGCTCTAGCTCCATCACCTTCGCGCTCGCCCTCTGGTGCTTGTTGGCCTCCAGCTTTGCCTTCTCGAGATACTTGTCCTGGGTTGCCCAATAGCCGAGGTACCCCAAACCCTAAACCCTAAACCCTAAACCCTAAACCCTAAACCCTAAACCCTAAACCCCCCCAACCCTAAACCCTACACCCTACCTGGAGGTTTATCAAGGATCCGGGATCCTTGCCCCAACACTTGAGGGGATAAGGATGCTGCTCCATGTCCGAGCGTCTGTGAGCCCCTTCCGAGAGGATGCTACCCGGGTGAGCTCGGCCTTTTGCATGAGTGCCAGCTGCCAGTTGTCCGTCTGCGGAGTGCGCCTTTGCACAGGAGGGGCGGCGGCTCGAAATGTTACCATCAGGTCCGGCTCCATGCGAAACGCCTCCAGAAGCTCTTCCTCGATGAGGGTATGGCGGTTGGACATCTTGTCTCCTTCCATGCCTTGGTAGCCCAGTAACAGTTACCCTAAACCCTAAACCCTAAACCCTAAACCCTAAACTCCAAAGGGAAAAAGGGGGTACCACTGGGCTACCAAGAGGCGCTTCTTCGCGGTCTCCTTCAGAGCAGTCAGGGCTGCTCGCCAGGCCACAGCTCGCTCCAGAGACTTTGTGTAGCAGGATATCCTTGGACGGCCCATATAAAACCCTCTATAAAATGTTCCCAAATATGGTCCTCTCAAAAGACCCAACAACTAGCTGAAAAAAAAGCACATTTAAACCCAATACTTAAGGCGAAATGTAACACCTCAAGGGCCTGCCGAGCATCACGTCCAGGTTGTCCCACGACACTTTGACCTCGTAGCACTTGCCGCGCGCGTGGATGCATGGTTCTGCAGAGCGCTTGATGTCGTCGTTGTCATCCGGGTGCGAGCGCTGGCCTCAGTGCTGACCCTGACTCCTGAGCCTTCAACCCATCGAAACCTTGTTAGGGTTCGGGGTTTGGGGTTTGGGGTTTGGGGTTTAGGGTTTAAGGTTTAGGGTTTAGGGTTTAGGGTTTAGGGTTTAGGGTTTAGGGTTTGCCTCCGAACTAATGACTACAAAGAGACACACTTAAATGTGCAAACCCGCCTCCCCGAAGCATCGAGCGCAGGACCAGCAACACGGCTGTCGACGTCTCAGCCACTGGGATTGACCGCTTGTACACCTGCCACTTCACGTAGGTATTTGTTTAGGAACACACCTAAAAGATACATGATGTCCCTATATTGCCCTTATAAGGAAGATGTAATATGCTTTTTGCATTTCTTTTTTTTTTTTTGGGGGGGGGGGGGGGGCTCTCAAGCAAAAAGTAGTCTTGCAGTTTGCTCCCGCCACATGCATCGAGATTCAGGCTCCAGAACACCAGGACTTTTGAGTATTTGGGGTTTAGGGTTTAGGGCAAGGATTCCAGATGCCTGCATGCCATGCAGCAGCAGGCGTGCTTCACCTCGAGCAGAATGCTCCTCGCCCGCCGGAGCAACGTTCCTTCCGAAGAGCAGAAGTGCACTAATTGCTTAAGAACCCCGAGGAGTTTAGGGTTTAGGGTTTAGGGTTTAGGGTTTAGGGTTTAGGGTTTAGGGTTTAAAGGTTTAGGGAAATTGCTAAATGTCGTGACACCACGGGTCGATCTGAATCTGAGCGTGCGTCTACTAAGGCCCCGCACCTGAACCAGCTACCTCCACGTCATTCCCCGCTCCGTTTCAGCTTAGTTCGCTGGCTCAGCAGTTCTCCCAATGGCGGTTTCTTTTGGGCGGTCCCTGGGCCCTAAACCCTAAACCCTAAACCCTAAACCCTAAAACCTTTCTCACGCAGGATGCCCAGATGGGGACCATCATTGGGAGTATGTAATGCTGCCACTATCCGGGCCTCGCTGGACACGACACTTCTGCAACAACTCCGATGCGTTGAGACTATCTTTAGGCATTTGTGGTAAACTACCGCGAATGTGTAACGTAGAATCCCTACTTCGGAGTAGACCCCGGAAAAGAAAAGAGTATATACTTTTTAGGTATAAGTAGCCATAGTGGGAACCCAGAACCAATAAAAAGTAGTTTAGGGTTTAGGGTTTAGGGTTTAGGGTTTAGGGTTTAGGGTTTAGGGTTTAGGGTTTAGGGTTTAGGGTGTACTCCATAACCCAGGAATACAAGGCTCTCTCCCAAGCCCCCATTGTGGAGGGAGCCAACGATGTCGAAGGCCTCCGAGGCATGCGCGGATGGGCAAGGCACGGCACTAGATCAACGACATGTCCCCCAAACCCTAAACCCTAAACCCTAAACCCCAAACCCGAAACCCGAAACCACTTAAGTGTCACGGCTCCAGTCTGGTGCACAAAAGCGAACGCCAGCTGTCAGCTTTCACCTACGCCCTGCAACAGGGGCTTCGCAAATTACCCATGTTTGATGGGTTTTGGGTTTTTTGTTAAGGGTTCAGGGTTCAGGGTTCAGGGTTCAGGGTTCAGGGTTCAGGGTTCAGGGTTCAGGGTTCAGGGCTTAGGGTTTAGGGTTTAGGGTTTAGGGTTTTATGTTCAGGGTTCAGGGTTCAGGGTTTAGGGTTTAGGGTTTTATGTTCAGGGTTTAGGGTTTAGGGTTTAGGGTGTAGTCTATAGCCCCCTGTCGCTTGCCAGCTCTTTGTAACTCGGGGAGTTGGTACTTGCTACCCCCCAAACCCAAAACCCCAAACCCTAAACCCTAAACCCCAAACCCAAAACCCCAAACCCAAAACCCCAAACCCTAAACCCTAAACCCTAGACTGGTTTCCTCATTCCCGTGTTACTGTGGCAAACATCGATTTCAACGAGGTCGGAGGAGAGCCCACGGCTAGAGCAGTGAGGTACATGGACCCTTGAGGGTCTTAGGGTTCGGAGGGTTCTTAGGGTTCTTAGGGTTCTTAGGGTTCTTAGGGTTCTTAGGGTTCGTATAGGGGGGAAGGTTTAGGGTTCTTAGGGTTTCTATACCCTCAACTTCTCACCTCCGTGCCTCTGCAATGCACTTGGTCTCGGCAGCAGCCTTCGTGAGCTCAACGGGTGAAGGCTCGCGGCCTAACCTGGGCCGTTCTCAGGCAGGTCCTTTAACCCTAATCACCCTGTTAACCCTGAACCCCAAGACCCAAAACCCAAAACCCGAATAGCCCTAAACCCTAATAACCCTCATAACCCTAAGAACCCTCATAACCTTAAGAACCATAAGAACCCTATGAACCCTAAGAACCTTAAGAAACCTAAGAACCCTAAGAACCCCAAGAACCCTAAGATCCCTGAGAACCCTAAGAACCCTAAGAGCCTCAAGAACCCTAAGAACCCCAAGAACTTTCAGAACCCTAAGAACCTTAAGAGCCCCGAGGCCCTGCCACCTTCCCCACTTGATAATCTGCCAAGCAAGGAGCCGCCCCCGCAGCTTGTCAGGGTGGTTCCGCCTTGGCTGCTCTTCTTGGCATCAAAGAAGCCCTTGCGTTCTGGGCTTAGGGTTTAGGGTTTCGGGTTTCGGGTTGAGGCTTTAGGGTTTAATCTAGGATGGCACTTAAAACCCTCTGAAAATATTCCTCAAACTGATCCTCTTAAACCCAATACGGGAAACTTGAAACCAATCCCAAGGGCCTACCCAGCATCTTTTTCAGAATAAGAATGGCATGCGCCATGCTTCTATAGCGTTGCCTTTTGGGGATACATTGAGAACCCTAAGAACCCTAAGAACCCTAAGAACCTTAAGAACACCAAGAACCATAAGATCCCTATGAACCCTAAGAACCTGCCTGAAGAACCCTAAGAACTCTAAGAACCCTATGAACCCTAAGAACCCTGAGAACCCTATGAACCCTATGAATCCTAAGAACCTTAAGAACCCTATGAACCCCAAGAACCCTGTAGGGACACATTCTTAAGAAATCGCTGAAGCTCCTGTAGAAACTTCTGTGCATCGCCTTCCTGGGTGGTGGTGCTGACACTTGTCTATGCCCTTCGGTCTGAAAGATCCCTAAACCCTTAAAACCCTTAACCCTAAACCCTTGACCCTTAACCCTAAACCCTAAACCCTTGACCCTTAACCCTAAACCCTAAACCCTAAACCCCAAACCCTAGACCCGAAACCCTAAACCCTAAACCCTCAACATGCCTCTGAGACGAAGTGGCAAGGTCGAGCGCCTGTAAGCCTGGCGAATCTCAAGGGCCGTGGCCTTCCTCTGCGGGCGTTTGGGTTTCGGGTTTAGGGTTTGGGGTTTAGGGTTTAGGGTTTGGGGTTTAGGGTTTAGGGTTTAGGGCATAGGGTTTAGGGCTTCGGGTGTAGGATTTGGGCTTCAGGGTTAGTAAGTGTTCAGGGTTTAGGGTTTAGGGTTTGGGGTTTAGGGTTTAGGGCTTAGGGCTGAGGGTTTGGGAGTTCGCGGCGGGCTTGCCGAGGAAAGAGAAAAAAGATGGCCAGGAAACACTGAAAGGCAATTTCATTGATATGTGGGCATAAACATATGTTTATACCTATACGCATGTGTGCGTGTGTTTTGTTATTCAAGCGAGGCACAAGCGTGCACATTTAGTGTCCCTGCTCTTGGGGTTCTTTGCCTTGGCCCTCGCAACCAGGAATCGGACCTCCGGGGCTATGGACAGGGAGGTACAGCCCGTGAAACTCCCTCAACCCTTGTGTACATATGCATAAGCATTCACATACACATACATACACGCAGCTACCTAGCCTCCGAACATGCGGGGTCCCTGTCTGGGGGGCCCTTTGCAGGGGATCCTACAAGATTTCGGGGGGATGGAAAAGGGACTGTAATTGTCGGAAACGCCCACAACTTGTTGCCCAAACAACTTCAGCACAAAACGGCCAAATCATTGGAGGCAAGTGACAAAGTTCTAAGCCCTAAAGCCCGCACCTCTAAACCCCTAAACCCCTATGTAAACCCTACACCCTCAGCCCCAAACCCCAAACCCCAGACCTAAACCATAAACCCTAAACCCTAAACCCTAAACCCTAAACCCTAAACCCTAAACCCTAAACCCTAAATCAACCCCAAACCCTTTTGGAAGCTCCTTGAGATGCCAAGGACGCTGTAGGGGCAATATGCTGGGGCCGCGGGGGCATTCGGAGCTGCATGCCTCGAAAGGGTTTAGGGTTTAGGGTTTAGGGTTTAGGGTTTAGGGTTTAGGGTTTAGGGTTTAGGGTTTAGGGTTTAGGGTTTAGGGTTTAGGGTTTAGGGTTTAGGGGTGAGTCTAGGGGCTGAATACCGGGAGTCTATGTAACCGAAAAGGTTAAAGGTCACCTGCCCAGTCCCCAAGGAGTTTAGGGCTGAGGGCGAGTTAAATCTTTGAGGGCTTTCAGGTTCTTGGGGTTTTGAGGGTTTTCGGTCGTTTGGTGGTTTCAGGGTTTTCGCGGGCTTTGGGGTTTTTGTTTCAGTCTTGAGGGGTGTTGGAGGCCTCTGCTCCCCCCCCCCAGCCCTGCAGGGGCCTGTCAAATGCAAGAACCCAAAGCCTATACCCTAAACCCTAAACCCGAAGCCCCAAACCCTAAACCCTAAACCCTAAACCCTAAACCCTAAACCCTAAACCCTAAACCCTAAACCCTAAACCCTAAACCCTAAACCCTAAACCCTAAACCGGGGTTTGGGGGGGGGGGGGGGGCTCTACATCTAAAGAAAACGCGCGCTCCCCGTGCGCGTCCACTGATACACACCCTAAACCCTCGTCCAAAGAGTCTTTAGACAAAGAAGAACCTAATTGTCCAGTAACCTGGGGGAATTAAATGTGAACCTTTGGGATTATAAGGGGATTTTACCACCCCAAAAAAGTTAAAGCGCGACCTGTGCAAGCATGTCCCCGGCGTCAGGCGTGAGACATACCATCGGGAAAAGAATTAAAAGTCGGGTGGGAGAGGCCAAAAGGTTAAAGGGTCTTCTACTAGGAGAAAAGCTTTCGAGGTCTGGGAACAGATATGACATGAAGACCCAGCTGTTGGCAGGCAGGCGCTTCTTTGACAGGCCTGCAGTCTTGCATGATCAGTTCTGCAGTCAAGCCCTACTTGGTAGCCCAGCAACCATCTCATAATAAGGGCACCCTTTTTGGCTACATTATAAGGGAACCTTGAACCAAAAATAGGGAAAAGGGTACCACTGGGCTGCCAAGGTTATCAGTTCTGCAGTCAAGCCTTACCTATGGCATGCGCAAAGTCTGCTGTAGTGATTCGAGCACAACTTGTTGGATTCATCGTCGCACCCACAACAATTCCAGTTGCCAGACATGCCATCATAATCGGGATCCCAACCACCACGCCGCCTTGGCCTGTTCCGCACATGATCTGGAGCCGGCTTGCGAAAATACTCGAAAGGGTGGGTGTCGGATCTTCCCTGGTGATAGCAGCTGGGTTCTGGGACCTCGTGGTTACCTCCACACTCAATGCAGCGGAAGCCCACAACTGCGGTAAGGTCATCTCCGTCAGATAGGCTCGCCGTGTACGCTGTGTCAAACCGGTTCAGGCATTGAGTTCCATGAAGGAGTTCCAAGCACTGCTGTTCCCCTGGCAGTTTCTCCGTGATGAGGCTATACATTGTGACCAGGCATTCGAACTCCGAGATCTTGTAGTCACTCAGAAGCTCCGCGCCGGACATGCCGCGCACATGCAGCATGATCACTTTCGGAGTTGGGTGCTGGAGCTTGCAGTCTTCGTTGCACTGAGAACCCTCCACAAAGTTTCTACACAGCGGCACCTCTCCGTTCGGCGCCGGATGCTTGAAATTGCATCCTTTGCGACACCCCTTCCCTGCCATGTACTGTGCACAGTTGGACAGCTCTCCATGCTCAAAACGACATTCCTCTCCATTTCTGCAGATGCCTCGACTTTCCCAAAATTTGCACGGAGCCTTCTTCAAATCTGTATGCAAGTACCTGCAGTTGCTGCCAAGCTTGCAGGTACCGCTGCGCCAGAATGAACATGTCCTGGTCTCCATGCCGGTGCCTTTCAGGGACTCGGAATGCAGGAACTTGCAACTGTCTCCATGCTTGCAGCTGCCATCCCGCCGCCAGAAGTTGCAATGACGGGCCCCGTCTGTGACACCAGGATGCTCTTGCGTTGGATGCTGCACCGCAGGTGGCCAGCCTGTGAAACTGCCGGAGTCTACAGTCGCAGACTTCGCTCCGCCGTAAGACGACATCCCTCGGGGTTGCGGCTGTGCGAGTGGCTTCCAAGGATTGCAATATCCTTAGCACCTGAGTTCTCACACGGCTTGCGACCACAGGCAGCAATGTCAATCGGTGCCAACCAATCCACAAATTGCCGGGCCTTGTTTCGAAGGCCCCTGCAGACAGGCTACATTTCAAAAACTGCGAACGTGAACCATGCATGCCTGAAGCTGACATGACAGACCCTTATGGCCCTAACCTTCAAACCATACAAGAGTCCACTGAGCTCGCTTTTCGAAGCCGGGAGGACCCTTGTGTCCTGAACCCTAGGCCCCAAGCCTGAGGTTTAAGGGTTTAGGGTTTAGGGTTTAGGGCTTCGGGTTTAGGGTTTAGGGTTTAGGGTTTAGGGTTTAGGGTTTAGGGTTCTAAGGGGCCCGAAACCTTAACCCTCCCGAACCAACACACCTTCCTTCAGAGGTTTGCGGCTCAAGACTTGCCATCCAACGCTCTCCAGAAATTCCCGGACCCCCAAAAATCGCACCAGACAAGGTCCTTGGGATTGAAATAACCCTAAACCCCTACACCCCAAAACCCCTAACCCTGAACCCTAAACCCTAAACCCTACACCTAAACCCTAAACCCGAAACCCTAGCCCTAAACCCTAAACCCCAGACCCCAAACTCTAAACCCTACACCCTAAACCCGCACCCCTAAACCCTCAACCCTCAACCCTCACAACCCAGGCCTTACGAGGGCTGTGGGCGGCGTCTTCTTGGTGATGCGGCGTCGGACCTCGGGCACACTTACAAAAAGCAACTCCCCCGCAACCGGGACCCTAGTTTAGAGACCTACCCAAATATGTGCATGTACCCCAGTAGGCGGGAGAGTGGTGCCAGGTGCACGATGCAAGTTGTTTTGGGGTTCATTCTTGGCCTCTAAGGAAAACATACTGCGCAAGCATCCCTTGCGGAAAAAATGAGCCCTGAAAGGGTTTAGGGTTCAGACACCTCAATCGGAATTTCTAGTCGTAGAGGATACATGCCCTGAAAGGGCTTATGACTCATGCCACCTTGAGAGGAATTTCGTGGTATAGGGTACATGACCCCTAAACCCTAAACCCTAAGCCCTAAACCCTAAACCCTAAACCCAAAACCCAAAACCCAAAACCCAAAACCCGAAACCCTAAACCCTAAACCCTATCAAGCAACGGCAATTCTCCAGCTCGAGGAACCCCCTGCACCGGGAAGAGTGAGGGCGTCATGGACTTTAGCCATCGCATCGCCATCGACCGCGTGGCGAAAGTGTCCCTTCTGCGAAGCTCATGCGGGGTCTATTGGGGTAGGCGAGTCCCAGGTGTTTTGTAGGGTTTAGGGTTTAGGGTTTAGGGTTTAGGGTTTAGGGTTTAGGGTTTAGGGTTTAGGGTTTAGGGTTTAGGGTTTAGGGTTTAGGGTTATTCAGTGGGTATGGATTCCCTTCATACCTGAGGCTTCTTCAGGGCTCTGGGGTGTGTGGCAATGTGTAGGCTGCGTCAACATGTGGAAGAAGGGGAGGCTGTGCACCCTTCAGCCACGGTGGGCTTTTTAGGGTGGCCAGAGTCAAGCATAGGAGTGGCGGGTCATTTCTTCGGTTGGAGGAATGGAGGGCGTGGTTGGCAGATATTTTGGGACATCACGCGCGGCCTGCTGTGAACCACATGGGACGGAGAGGATGTGTCTAAAGGGGCCCCCCCCCCCACCGCAGACGTCGACACCCTAATGCACAAACTCTGCTAAAGAGCACGAAGACACCCTGGCCCTCAACAGTCCTCCCCCCAAAGGCCGAAGGTATCAGCATCCCTTGCACGCCTGGGTAGAACCGCCCGACTGTCATGAACCCAAAACCTGAGCCCCGAACTCCGAGTTTTACGTGTCATGAAGCAAAAAATAAATGCCTTTTGAATGAGTCGCCGCTGTCGCAAGGCTACTCCACCAACTAGGGACAAAGGAGGTGAGCTGTGCTTCGCACACCTCATGAATCTACGGGCCGGGTCGGGATGCTTCTTCCCGGCATTTTGCTGTGGGGTCGTCTTGTGGGCTAGAGGTGCAGGGCTCGGGAACGTACTGTGGATTAGATGCTAGTATAGCTAGTGCCCAAGGACACATAAGGGCGCATCATTGACGACCTGCCACGCATTCTGCCGCAATAGTTGCTCAGCAAAACGGACACGGCCACATGGACATCATTGGCATGTACTCAGTATGCTCGGCATACACAGCTCTTTTCCGAGCCGGGGAGGATCCGTCCTTGTTTATAATAGAAGGGGACAAAAGATAAACTAGCACTCTGCACAAATCTGGGTCCGCCGCGGTGGTTCGCCTCTCTGGGGGTGAGGGGACAGCAGACGACCGCGATGGAGCCCAGAGACTCTAATTGACTCTCATGACGGGAGCTCCGCGGATTGCATACGAAGCATTTTGCCAGAAGCCAGAGAATGCTGGAGAAGCTGGGTTCTTGTTCCAGGCACTCCGAAAATTCTTGCTGAGAACTTGTTCAAGTAACACAGTTGCAGGAGTAAGGTCTTCTTGGAACTTCTGGCTACTGGCTTCCTCGCGCCGATGGGCGCCCTGCACGTGAGGCTCGCTCAGCGCGCCTTGTTGCAGATGCTCTGCTTACTCTGCTTCTCCTCCTTGCTCCCTCCTGGCTTCCTTTTGGGATCACCTTTGCCGGGCTTCTGAGCTTAATCGGCCGGCCGGGGATCTGGGCTCGTCTCCGCGCGAACACGGGACTGTCTGCCGGTTGGCTGTGCGGGCCTGTCTCCTCTATCACGGGCACTGGAGGCTTGGTCTTCACCTCGAGTGGGGCCACCACCGGAGTCTTGATGCCCTCCGGGGTGATTGAAACCTCCCCACTGGTGCTACCTGGCGGCAGGTATAGGGGCTCGGAATAATTACTAATCGTATTCCCTTGTGAGAATTATACTATGATAACCCCCAAAACTCTGTTCAAACCATTAAGGCCCCTATAGCTGGCGGTGTTTCGGGTTGAGGGTGTGAGGAGTGAGGACTGTGGATGCTACTTCGGATTCCGACAGTGCCTGCGTAGCTTGCCGACATTTCCGCAGGCCCATACCTACGATTTGCACCCTTCTCAGACCTTTCTAAGGTTTGGCTTAGGGCTTAGGGGTTGGAGACTAGGCTTAAGATGGTTTAAGGGTTTACAGGGTTTAGGCTTTAGGACTTCGGGCGCGCGCGTGTCATAGTGCTAGCTCCCTTCGGGATAGCTGTCGTCGGCAGGGTATGGAAACTCTCAACAATCATATTTCTGCAGCCGGAACCCCAAAGTCCAACACGCAAACCGGTCGCTTTGAAGTAAACCCTCCCAAAAAGCACATAAATGTGAATAACTACTATTCAATAAGATTCCTCTTGAGTATATATTACTAATCATAGCAATTCTCATGCGCAAAATGCTTACTTCGATCATTGCCACCCTACAGCCCCCTGATGTCGGAACACTAGCGCCAGCGATTGCGAAAATCACCACACTCCAAGGATACTCGGCACGTGGGCACTCCATCGGAGGACTCTCTGCGGGCCTCTCTGGAGGTTACCCTAAACCCTATAAACCCTATAAACCCTGTAAAAAACCCTATAAAACCTATAAACCCGATAAACCCTATAAACCCTATAAACCCTATAAACCCTATAAACCCTATAAACCCTATAAACCCTATAAACCCTATAAACCCTAAACCCTAAACCCTAAACCCCAAACCCTAATCGGCGGGACTCTGCGCGGGCTTCGTTTCGCCAGGGATTCTCGGCGTCTCTGGGGGTGGGCACTTCACGGAGCCACCATGCCCAGGAGACCCGGAGGTAAGGAGGCGAGGAGCACTTTTAAGTATGGTAACTATACCTAAAGTACGGCTTAGGGTACTCGTGATCTTATATGTTATATAAGTACCCATCATGAACCTCCAAGTGCCCAACTGAACCTTATGTACCCATATTGGCGCGCCTTCTTTCGTGGACCCCGCAGACAGGGAAGACTTGGGCGCCTGGCATAGGGACTAAGAGTGTCAGGCTGCTTTTCGGGGCTTAGGGTTTAGGGGTTGACGGGTCACAGGTGTTAAGGGTTTTAAGTGCTTTAAGGTTCAAGGGTTTATGGGCTTAAAGGGTTTTAAGGGTTTAAGGTTTCACGGTTTCAAGGATGTAAAGGGGCTTAAAGGCCTAAAGGGTCGAAGGATTAAAAGGCTTAAGGGTTGAAGAGGTTTGGATATAGGGTTTGAGACTTTCGGGTGGATGAAAGCTTGGAGCTAATCATCGAAAACGACAGGGAAGTGTAGGGTTCAGGCCTTGAGAGGTTGGGGCTTACTAACTTCAATGAAACTTTGGGAGCGGGCTTCGGGTTCGTGGTTTACCCTGAAAACTAATCCCTACAAACCCCTAAACCCTAGAGAAAGTCTTCACAACTGCGTTGCTTCTTCCCTTGCTCTTCAGCCGCTCGTCAGGGGCTCAAGGCTTAGGCGGGGGACTGGTTTGGGGGTTTAGGGTTTAGTTGGTCAAGGGTTTTGGGTTTTGGACAATCGCCTTTCCGACGGCTGTATGCGAAACTCTGTACCCCAGGAGCTGAACCCCAAAAGCCGAGATGTCAAAGCCGAACCCGCCAAAAGCCATCACGGCCTGAGGCCAGAGCCTGACTGATATAAACTCAGCCGGAAAACCTAGACGTCACAAGCCCACTTGACCGTGTGACCCTAGAAGCCTGAAGCTCCAAGACCCCCCACATACCTGCCTGCGACTGTCGAGCAGCCTTGGGTATCCGAAGCGTCCTCTTCGGCGCCTTGGCCTTCGGAATCGGCGCGTCAGAGGTCGCCGGAGCCGAGGGGGCCGAGGGGGCCGAGGGGGCCGAGGGGGCCGCCGAGGGTGCCGCCCAGGGTGCCGCCGAGGGTGCCGCCGAGGGTGGCGAGGCCGAGGGAGCCGAAGCCGAAGGAGCCGAGAGAGCTGGGTGATGGAGCTCCGGAGCATCCTCAGCAACCTGGGCGATCTTCGGCAAAACCACATCTGGGGGGACCTCCACAACAATGGCGCTCAGCGCCGCCGGCTCTTGCCCTGCTTGCCCTCCCTGCCCTCCTTGCCCTCCATGATCACCATGATCACCATGACCACCACGCTCACCACCAGCATCATCGGCAGAAGCGGCTCTGGCCGGGCCACCCAAGCGTGAGCGATGGAGCACTGCGCGGATGGCCGCCACGCCGCCCCGGCCGCGCTGCCGGAGCCCGGCGACCAGGGAGGGAGCGCTTTTCTTCGAGTGGTCCATCCAGGGGCAGGCCGCCTTTAACTGCTTGGTCCGCGCCGTCTCCTCGCGAAAGCCCAAGTAGGATGCAACCAACACTGCGGGGATGGCCGGCAGCAGGACCATTTCGAGCACAAGGTTCTGCAAACTTGTCAGGAGCCACTGAAGGATGTCATCGTCGGCCACCGTGGCAGCGAAGCTGCAGATGATGTACTGGCAGAGCAGCACGTAGCTGCCGGCAAAGACCCAGAAGAGCACCCTCCGGCACTTCTTGCGCTGATTCCTCTGCTTGTTTCTGCCTATTCCCAGGAGCAGCGACACAGGAAGGGAGCTGCCGGCTCGACTCGCCAAGGCTACCGTAAGCGTGATGACAACGAAGCCCGTCAGATCATTCCTGAAGTCCTTCCTGGGGCAAGCTAGGTCTTCGTATGCGTCCTTATCCCTGGCGCCGGACTCATAGAAGATGGCGGAGACGGCCCAGCTACCGAAGAGCCGCGCGGCGACCGCGGCGCATCGCTGCCTGCCTTTTGGGGACCAACACGAACCCTAAAATTGGGGTCATGGACCCTATACTACTATAACTCCTATAAAGGTATATGAGCCATAAACCCTAAAACTCCTACTAAGGTATATGAACCATAAACCCTACAGAACTCCTATTAAGGTATATGAACCATAAACCCTATAACTCCTACTAAGGTATATGAACCATGAACCCTATAACTCCGACTAAGGAATATGAACCATAAACTCCCTTTAGTGTTCATTTTAATGTTGCACCCGGTTTGGTGAGAGGGGGCACTATTATGCGTTTTTCCGGAAATCTTATAGGGGACCCCCCATTGATTAGGGTGGTCCTCAATTATGCGATGTTTGCCGGCCGGGGTTGAAGGGCGGGGGGCCGGGGAGCCAAAAACTAAAAAAAGTTTTGAATGAGAAGCTCCGGAATTTTTTGGTGTCCAGCCTTATTTAAATTCCTTTTAAAATTTCATTACGAAACAGGCCCCCAAACAATTTTCCAAGGGAGTAGCCCACGAGCTGCCCTGATTCGCTTTAGCAAGTTGTTTCGGTGGTCCGCATTTATGCGGAGCCCCGGCGACCGTGGAGCTGCAAAGCCTGGAAAGCTTAGACCCTCAAGCTTCAAGGCTTCCCCTCAACCCTCGACCCCTAGCCGCCCTACCCCCAGCCCCGTCCCAGCCCCAGCCCACCCTATTCAGGATCCCCGAAAACCCCAAAATTGTTTGGGGGGGGGGGGGGGGGACCCCCCCGTACTAAACCGAGTCCAACATTATTCAGGTATGTGAACCTTAAAACCCGAAACCCTAAACCCTAAACCCTAAACCCTAAACCCTAAACCCTAAACCCTAAACCCTTTCAGGGTTCATACGTCGTCCCCGAGGTGCAGGTCATGTCGAAGCGCGGCAAAAGGAAGGCCAACCACTGGTTCTGCGCCCGGAAGATGAGCAACACTCGGGCTCCGAAGCTTCCTCTACCATTTGCTTAAGAAGCCCCCCCCCCCCAACCAAAAAAACAACAAATAATAATAATAATAATCATATATATACATATACCTGTATATATGTATGTATATATATCCCTATTCCCTCAGGCAGAGGCAGGTTTCCTTCTTTTTTTTTTGTTTTTTGCGGCGGTGGGGGGGGGGGGGGCGGGTGAGGGGGTGGTGTTCTTAGGCCATGCTAAACCCTAAACCCTAACCCTAAACCCTAAACCCTTAAGCAATGAGCAGTCCTCTGTAGACGACCCGAGCGGTCTCCTCCGTGATGTGGTGCAGCCGCGTGGCGTGGTGCTCGGTTTTGGCCAGCTTCGTGTGGTCGGCACCCACGTGCAGCTGGATGGCCTGTGGGTTTAGGGTTTAGGGTTTAGGGTTTAGGGTTTAGGGTTTAGGGTTTAGGGTTTAGGGTTTAGGGTTTCGGGTTTCGGGTTTCGGGTTTCGGGTTTAGGGTTTAGGATGGCCTTTGGGATTCTCACCAATGAACCGGCTTGGCGAATGCTCCAGGAGCATAACCAGGAGCATAAACAGTGCATATGGGGGGGGGGGGGGTGCTTCCAAATATCAGGCCACCTACTGAACCCTAAACCCCAGACCCCCAACCCTAAACAGGAACATCATGGAACAAAATCTCAGGGCTAGTATATAAATCTGGGCGCTGCCCGATCCCGAATCTCTACGACCCGAGACAGCATGTCTGCCCAAAAGCCCACCCCAAAAAATCGGATGGGCCTTGTGAGCCAACCAACCCATGAGCTTGTCGGCACACTTGGTTGTGCGTCGCGTCTCCGAGTCCTCCTCTTTCTTCTCATCTTTCTCCTCCTCCTTCTTCTGGTTCTCCTCCTTCTTCTCATGCTTCTCTTCCTCCTCGTGTTTCTCCTCCTGCTGCTTCTTCTTCTTCTCCTTCTGCTTCTCCTTCTTCGGCCTTCGTGAACGTGAACCCCATCCCCGCTGACTGACAAACTTGCGAGCCTTCTGGCGCACCCCCTCCTCCTGCTGCTCAAGCGCATGGACCACCTCCATATTCTGAGGATCTTTCAGCATCTCCCTGTGGCCTTTCTCCGCTTTGTGGGCCAAGCCCATGGCCACGAAACACCCCACGATGGCCACGTAGTCCAGCATGGCGGCGTTGTTGAACCACCAGTCCCCATGTGCGAGCCGCTGCGCCGCCTCCTCCGAGAAGACGCGCGCCGCGTTGGAGCACGCCAAGACCGCCCAGGAAATGGCGAAGATTCCCGTGCGGCGACCCTCACAAACTGGCCCGGAGGCCCCAAGCCTCAACTTGGCGCCATCGGAGGACCAGTCCTTCCCGTGCCATCGGACACAGCTGGCCTGGGGCACGATGCCCGAGTCCGTGTCGAGCCCTATCACCAGTGGCTCCGCACTTGGAGGACGGAGCTCATCCTCATCAACAGCAACGACTTCGTCCAGGTCCACGTCGAGGTCCGAGCCGTTGAGGTCATAGAACAAGAGGCTCATCGGGGGGCCTCGAAGCTGGCGCTTGACGGGCTGACCGTCCACCTCACCTGCGCTCAGGCCCTCCATGGCGGTCCACGTTGCGCTTGGGAGGCTTCCAAAGGAGATGGCAATGCCTGAACCATAGTTGGGACAGTACAAATTTATCTAAAATGATCATTGTTCATTCCTGGTTGTGTTTGATTACCCAAAAAAAGATGCAAAGTGATCTTCAACAATGACCCAGACGCCCTCCGCTCTCCTTGCAAGCTCTCGGAATAAGCCGACGGGCACGAGGACGGACGTGTTGCCTTCACCTTCAAGCTCCGTGTCGTTCACGATGTTCGACGTGTTCACCACTGCGAAGGTGAGGTTGCTGCCTGCCACTGCTTTGCTGGTAACTTTCCTCGGAGGGCCCTTAAAACCCTCTGAAAAATTTAGGGGTTCAGGGTTTAGGGTTTAGGGTTTAGGGTTTAGGGTTTAGGGTTTAGGGTTTAGGGATATTCCTGAATATGATCCTCTTCAATGGAAAAATGTTCCCAAGGGCCTACCCAGCTTCAGGGTCTCGTTGGGGAGCAGCAGCTCCTTCAACTCCTGGATGGCCAGGTTCGCCTGCTGCCGCCGGACTTCCTCAAATGCTTCTACTGCCGCCGCCGCGGCTTCTTTCTGGCGAGCCTGGGGGTTCTCGGTCTCGATGGGAACTGTCTCGGTCGTTGTGTCTGGGACCTCTGTAGTGGAGGGCTGCGTTGGGGCCCCGGTCGTGAGGAGAGGGCTGGAGGTTGAAGCCACGGTCGGGGATGAAGTGCTTGAACCCATCTGAATCATGGGGAGTGTCGCCCCAGAGTAGTTCGTGGTGCCCTTGTAGGGAACAATGGCAATACCGGCAATGCCCGCCGTGCCCATCATAGCCTGTCCGAGCAGCACGTCTTGCAGGTCAAGCATGTACCAGGAATCATGGCAACATTCCAGCAGTTGAGTAGGTGCAGAGTCCTCTTGCTGGATGCTGGTGACAGTGCCCACCACCTGCAACACCGTGCCACATTCGTCCAGCAACTGGACATAGTAGCCATCTACTGATGACCCCTCCGCCCCACAGCCGGGACCAAAGTTGACAATCTCGGGCGACCAGCGCACTTCGAAGAGCTTGCGCACGCTGTCCGTGACATCAGTGCCGACAGTGGCACAGACTTGGCAGGAGTCCTGCTGGTCACCTGGGGCCGGCAGTGGGCATGCGCACTGGGAAGAATCCCCGGCCTGGACATCTACGCGGCACCTGTCTGCCTCGTGTTCATCTTGGCACGAAGCCAGGCCGCTGGTTGAGTTCACGGGCACGCCACCAAGAATTCGACGGCAGGTGAGAGATGAGCTGTCTTGCAGACGGCGGCCGACTACGGTGGAAGTAGTGCTGGTGCTGCTAGTGCTGCTTGTGGTGCTAGTGGTGCTGGAGACACTCGTCTGGGTCTTTGTTGATGTTGTGAATGTACTGCTGCTAAGGCTCGAAGTCGAGGACGTTGAGGTGCTTGTCATGCTCTTGCTCGTTGTGGTGCGTGTGGACGAAGTCGTCGTGCTAGTGGTGCTTCGTGTAGACGAAGTCTGGGATGTGCTGGTAAGGGTCAGTGTGATGCTGGAGGTGCTGGTGGTAGTCTGGGACGTCGAGGTGATCGTGCTGCTCGTCGCAGTGATCGTGGTAGCGGTGGAGGTCGTAGCTGTGATCGTGGTAGCGGTGCTTGAGCTCACGCTTGATGTTGAGGTCGTCCTGGTAGTCGTCTTACTCGTCGTGGTTCGTGTTGTGCTGGTAAGGGTCGACACGGTACTGGACGTGCTGGTGGTGGTCCGTGATGTCCAGGTCCTCGTGCTGCTCGAGGCAGTGCTCGTGGTTGCCGTACTTGAGGTCATGGTGCTTGTTGTGCTGGAGCTTGTTTTGGATGTACTTGTGACTGAAGTGATAGAAGACGTGGTGGTGGTGTGTGAAACGGACGTGGAGGTTGTTGTAAATGTGCTTGATGTGGAAGAGCTGCTCGTTGTACTTGAAGTGCTTGAAGTCGAAGTCGATGAGCTTGTTGACGTGCTGGATGTGCTTGTGCTTGAGGTGGTAGAGCTTGTGGACGTGCTGGATGAGCTGGTGCTTGAAGTGGAAGAGCTGCTCGTCGTACTTGAGGTGCTTGAAGTCGAAGTCGATGAGCTTGTAGACGTGCTTGACGTGGTAGAGCTTGTGGACGTGCTGGATGTGCTGGTGCTTGAAGTGGAAGAGCTGCTCGTCGTACTTGAAGTGCTTGAAGTCGAAGTCGATGAGCTTGTTGACGTGCTGGATGTGCTTGTGCTTGAGGAGGTAGAGCTTGTGGACGTGCTGGATGTGCTGGTGCTTGAAGTGGAAGAGCTGCTCGTCGTACTTGAAGTGCTTGAAGTCGAAGTCGATGAGCTTGTTGACGTGCTGGATGTGCTTGTGCTTGAGGAGGTAGAGCTTGTGGACGTGCTGGATGTGCTGGTGCTTGAAGTGGAAGAGCTGCTCGTCGTACTTGAGGTGCTTGAAGTCGAAGTCGATGAGCTTGTTGACGTGCTGGATGTGCTTGTGCTTGAGGTGGTAGAGCTTGTGGACGTGCTGGATGTGCTGGTGCTTGAAGTGGAAGAGCTGCTCGTTGAAGTTGAAGCGCTTGAAGTCGAAGTCGATGAGCTTGTAGTCGTGCTGGATGTGCTTGTGCTTGAGGAGGTAGAGCTTGTGGACGTGCTGGATGAGCTGGTGCTTGAAGTAGAAGAGCTGCTCGTTATCGTTGCAGTGCTTGAAGTCGAAGTCGATGAGCTTGAAGATGTGCTAGAACTGCTACTGGTGAGGGTGGTCGAGCTGCTGCTTGATGTGCTGGAGCTGGTTCTGGAAGTAGATGTCACCGTGTTGGACGTGCTGCTTCGTGTGGACGATGAGCTCGTTCGCGTGCTGGTCGTTGTTGAGGTAGAGGTGGTGCTGGAGGAGGAACTGCTTGTCACAGTTTCGGAAGTTGTGGTGGTGGAGCTGAAGGTAAGGCTGGATGAAGAGATGCTGGTGCTGGAGCTTGTGCCAGATGTGCTGGAGCTGCTGCTCGTGGAGGTGCTGGAGGTCGTGCCTGTCGTGAAGGACGTAGATGTTGTGGTACTGGTCCGTGAAGTCTGCGTGCTGCTGCTGGACGACACTGTTGTGAAGCTTGTCGTGCTCGATGTCCCAGAGACTGTGGAGCTTGTGGTGGCCGTGGTAGTGTTGGTGCTGGTGCCGGCATCCGTCGTAGAGGAGCTGCAAAAATATTCTGGAGAAAGATTGAGGCTTCGAGTCATCAAAGTAGCGCCAAGAGTGCAAACTGGAAGAAGCTCAGTTCCCAGATTGCACTGGCTGCAAAGAGAACATACGAGCTGCATCCAGACCAACTTCACCACTCTTCCTAGGGAAGTCCCTCAAAGCCCTTAGAAACAAATTCTTCAATAGGGCCCTCTCAAGCCCAAGAAGGGAATCAAGTAAAACGTCCCAAGGGCCTCCCGAGCTTCCTTGGGAAGCCATGTGGCTCAGGTTCTGGAGAACTTGTCATGTAGTTGAACTTCTCGGGCATTGCCACTGGAGTCCATGAAGCAAGAGGGGTATGGACCGGCCTTCGCCGACTGAGCCGGGTTTAGGGTTTAGGGTGTAGGGTTTAGGGTTTAGGGCTTAGGGCTTAGGTTTTAGGGTTTAGGGTTTAGGGTCTAAGGTTTAAGGTTTAAGGTTTGGGGTTTAGGGTTTAGGGGAACCGACTCTCATGATCTCACGCCGCTGCGATCTGTCCTACGAAAGCGTTCTCTGACACCCATCTATCTCTTATCGCCTACAGAACAAGCCCCCAGAATTAGGGCTGCAGGCTTGTGTAAAATTGCCTGATGCGGTGCTGAACGCACCTTGAGCCACACCCGACCATGATCGGGGTAGGGGGGTTTAGGGTTTAGGGTCTAGGGTTTAGGGTTTAGGGTTTAGGGTTTAGGGTTTAGGGGTTAGGGGTTAGGGGTTAGGGGTTAGGGTTTAGGGTTTAGGGTGTAGGGTTTAGGGTTCAGAGTTTAGGGTTGAGGGTTTAGGGGGACGCAAGGGAGGCGGGTGCAGGGCCCATAACAAAAAAAAAGGACCAACCGATAACTTGCCGAGGAAAACCCCCTCCACCATAAACCCTAAACCCAAGTCAGCCAAACGTGGCCACAGACGCCACAAGAGGTACAAAAAATTGGCTGCTTCGGGTTGAGGGTTTGGGGTTCACTGAAAAGCATCCTAGCAGTTCCCTTCTACGACATACTCCTGCTAACGCCCCCTTGGTAGTAGCCATCACTGCAGGAAGAGGGAGAACATAACCAGAACCATACTTACTTCTCGGAAACCCGCGGAATGAAAAGGGCTAAACCTTATTGTTCCTACTATATAAGGAAACCTTAAAAGTTTAAAGTTCACTTATTGGCTAAGTAAGCAAACCCTAAACCCTAAACCCTAAACCCTAAACCCTGAACCCTAAACCCTAAACCCTGAACCCTAAACCCTAAACCCTAAACCCTGAACCCTAAACCCTAAACCCTAAAATCGCCGGAGCCGGCATGTTTCAAGGAACGCGGGGCCATCCCTAGGTTTTTGAGGCTCTAAATGACCAGCTTAGGTCTAGGGTTTAGGGTTTATAGGGTCTATAGGGTCTATAGGGTTTATAGGGTTTATAGGGTCTATAGGGTTTATAGGGTTTATAGGGTTTACAGGGTTTATAGGGTTTATAGGGTTTATAGGGTTTATGGGGTTTATAGGGTTTAGGGTTTAGGGTTTAGGGCCTAGGGCTTAGGGCTTAAGGCTTAAGGCTTTAGCCCCCCTGAAAAACGACACCCCCACCTCCGCCCCCCTCACCACCTTAGGGTTACAACGTTGAGTCCCATCCTTTTTTGCGTGCGAAAGCTGGATGCCTACGGCAAGCCCCTCACAGCATCTGCCATATCCAACAGGATTCCGGGCAATTCCTCGGCCAGGACTGAGGGGGACAACTGGACAACCGGCCGGGGCATTCCACAAGAATCCTAAACCCTAAACCTCAATCCTGAACCAAGAACCTTGCGGTTGCGTGCGCCACCTGCTCCAGAGTTTGGATGCAGGGCGTTTGCGAGCATCAGCCGTGCAACGTACAGTCTCCCCGAACAGACAGGCCTGTTTACGTGGAATAGAGCTTCGAACATGGTTCTACGAAGCAAGGTTTAAACTGCAAATATCTCTGGGCCCTGTATAAGTAGTATAGGTTTGTTCAGCCTAAAACCCTAAACCCTAAACCCTAAAGCCTAAAACTCTCTAGACAGCAGCGGGGGTTATGCCCGATGAACCTCCTTTTCTGCCCATCTGGGCATGGCAACTGCGGCCAAGGGGCAGTTGGGCTCAACTCCTGAAAAAAAGGACGTGGGGGTTTAGGTACATAGGGGCTATATATGGTATATGTATGGGCTATATAGGGGAAGATGATTAAGGGTACCTTTTTGGGGTCCTTATGATAAGGGAATCCTACCCGGGGGTTAGAGTTCCCTTCTTTTCGTACACCCCCACATGGGCAGGATAGGATGGACACCAGGGGAAGGGTTTTTCAGCCTAGGCATGCGAAGCTGCAAGGAACAGACTTTCCGTAGGGGGGCCTGTAATCTAGATCAGACCCTCCCCCCCCACCTGGGGAGGTGTTCCTGCGAGTTGGAAACAAAACCCTAAACCCTAAACCCTAAACCCTAAACCCTAAACCCCCTCCCAGAGCTGGACCCGAAACCCTGAGCCCATGCTTCCTTGAGCTTCTGCATGGGTCTATTCAATCGACGATGCATGGACATCAACATTCATGCTGCTTCCTCTTGTGGTTTGGTGTTTTTTAACGTTAAAAAACCCTTTTAGGGTTCTTTAACGTTAAAAAACCCTAAATTCATGCTGCTTCCTCTTGTGGTTTGGTGTTCCGCTGTCGCAAAGCACACATCGGCGAGGGGAGGGGGTGCAGGAAACAGGTAGCAATTCTCGTTGGCATGACCGGAATTGCGGGGGCCAACAGTCGAACTTCTCGTCCTAAGCCTATGCGTCCCCCAGCTCACTTACGCGGCTGCTTGTGGTTTTCGGGTTTGCGGGTCAGCTGCTCTCCTGCATCAGACGTTGAAACCCTAAGACCTAAACACGAAGCCCTAAACCCTAAACTTTAAACTCTAAGCCCTCAACCCTAACCCCATAGCCCTAAGCCCTAAACCCTAAACCCGCGTACACCAATTTCAAGGCATCCAAAAGCCCGAGGATGCCTGTAACTGTTGGAGGGAGTGGAACAGC